GAAGAGGAGGAGGAGGAGGAGGGAGGAAGAAGGGGAGGAGGAGGAGGAGGAGAAAGAAGAGGAGGAGGAGGAAGGAGGAGGAGAAGGAGGAGGGAGGAGGAGGAGGAAGGAGGATGAGGAGGAAGGAGGAGGAAGGAGGAGGAAGAGGAGGAGGAGGAGGAGAAAGAAGAAGAGGAAGAAGAAGAAGAGGGAGGAGGAGGAGGAAGATTAGGAAGAGGAGGAAGATGAAGAGGAGGAAAAGGAGGAGGAGGAGGAGAATTGGAGGAGGAGGAGGAGGAAGAGAAGAGGCAGCAGAGGAAGGAGGAGGACGAGGAGGATGAGGAGGAGGAGAAAGAAGAAGAGGAAGAAGAAGAAAAAGAAGAGGAAGAAGAAGAAAAAGAAGAGGAAGAAGAAGAAGAGGAGGAGGAGGAGGAGGAGGAGGAGGAGGAGGAAGAAAATTGGAGGACAGGAGGAGGAGGAGGACGACGACGAGGAGGAAGAGAAGAGGCAGCAGAGGCAGCAGAGGGAGGAGGAGGAGGAGGAAGAAAGAGGAAGAAGAAGAAGAGGAAGAAGAAGAAGAGGAAGAAGAAGAGGAAGGAGGAGGAAGATTATAAAGAGGAGGAAAAGGAGGAGGAGGAGGAGGAGGAGGAGGAGGAGGAAGAGAAGAGGCAGCAGAGGCAGCAGAGGCAGAAGGCAGCAGAGCCGAAGGCAGCGGAAGCGGAAGTGGAAGGCAGCAGAAGGCAGCCGAAGCCGAAGGCAGGAGGAGCAGAAGGCAGAAGAGGCAGGCGGAAGAAGAGGAGGAAGAAGCAGAAGGAAGAAGAAGAAGAAGAAGAAGAAGAAGAAGAAGAAGAAGACGAAGAAGCAAAAGAAGAAGCAGGAGGAGGAAGAAGAAGTAGAAGAAGAAGCAGAAGAAGCATTAGACACAGAAGCAGCAGCAGAAGAAGAAGCAGCAGAAGAAGGAGAACCAAAGCAACAGAAGAAGAAGCACAAGAAGAAGTAGAAGCAGCAGAAGGAAGAAGCAGCAGAAGCAGAAGCAGAAGAAGAAGCAGGATGAGGAAGAGGGAGAGGAAGAAAAATAAGGAAGAGGAAGAAGAAGCAAAAGAAGAAGCAAAAGAAGAAGCATAAGAAGCGGAGGCAGAAGCAGAAGCAGGAGAAGTAGAAGCAGAAGCAGCAGAAGAAGCAGCAGAAAAAGCAGCAGAAGAAGCAGCTGAAGAATAAGCGAGGCAGCAGAAGCATAAGAAAAGGAAGAAACTGAAGGAAGCAGCAGAAAAGGAAGAAGAAGAAGCAGCAGAAACAGAAGAAAAGGAAGAAACAAATGGAAGCAGCAGAAAAGGAAGAAGAAGATGCAACAGAAAGCAGAAGAAGCAACAGAAAAAGCAGCAAAAGAAGAAGCAGAAGCAGCAAGAGGAAGAGGAAGCAGAATAAGAGGAAGAGGAAGAGGAAGAAGA